GCTCCCGGTGCCTGCGCTCATTCGCTGGCGCCTTCTCCTGTTGGGGCCCTGAAGCAGCAGCAGCAAGAGAAGCAGCAGCAGCAGCAAGAGCAGCAGCATCAAGAAGAGCAGCAGAAGCGGCAGCACGAGCTTCAAAAGCTGCAGAGACGGCGACTGCGGGCCTTGCTGCAGCAGCAGCCTGGTAGAATCCAGGAACAGCAGCAGCAGCAGTTGCTGCAATGGAAATGCGGATATGATAGCAGCGACAGCAGCAGCAGCAGCAACAGCACCAGCAGCAGCAAACCGCCGCCAGCGGTACAGCCAAAAAGAAAACTTATCTGGGGGAGCTTCCTGGAGAGCAGCAGCAGCAGCAACGCAGTGCAGCAGCAGAAGCCGCAGGAGCAGCGTGGGGAGTTTGCTGCTGCTGCTGATGTGAGCAACACTTGGATGCAGCAGCAGCAGCAGCAGCAGCAGCAGCAGCAGCAGCAGCAACATGCTGCTTTGGCCTACTCGCAAATGAAATTTTTCCACAACTGGCGATGCCAACAGCAGCACGACCAAGATCAGCAGCAGCAGCAGCAGCAGCAAGGGCAGTGCAGGCCTCACAAACAGCGTACAATAAGCCCGCAGCTGCAGCAGCAAAATGAGCAGCAGCAGCAGCAGCAGCAGCACAGCCAAACGCAGCAGCTATTTGCAACTAGGGGCTTCCATGGCCGCAATAGGTCTCTAGACAGTTCTTCTTCTGCTTGGGGTCCGAGGCATCAGCAGCAGCAGCAACTGCAGCAGCAGCAGCAGCAACTACAGCAGCAGCAGCAGCAGCAACTGCTGCAGCAGCAGCAGCAGAGAGCCTGGGAGGATGCCCGTGCTGTCACTTTGGCGCTTGATGCATACGAGGCTTCTGTTGCTGCTGAGGCATCAGACTGGGAGGAAGCGGATGCAGCAGCAGCAGCAGCAGCAACAGCAGCAGCAGCAGAGCAAGGATCCGAAGCAAAAGCAGCAGCAGAAGGCAACTCAGCACAACGTTTTCCTTGTGCTGCTGCCACCGACAGTCCCTTCGTTGCTGCAGCTGCTCCTGCATATCCAGAGCTTCGGCAGCATTTGCAGCAGCAGCATCTGCAGCAGCGGCAGCATCTGCAGCAGCAGCAGCAGCAGCAGTGGCAGCAGGGTTGGGGGCCCCACCTACCTTCTAATCAGCAGCTGCTGCATCGCAAATGCCATTTGGAGGCCCCTGGCTGCTCGTTGCTTGCTTCTGCTCGCCGCCGCAGCCGCTGGGCACCCAGCAGCAGCAGCAGCAGCAGCAGCAGCAGCAGGGAGAGAGGCCGTCGGGGCCGCAGCAGGGGGGGCAGCAGGAGAGCAGCAAAGCAGCTGCGCTGCATTCATTTGCGGCAGAAAACCCTTAGAACGTCTGGCCCCCAGGGGGCCTCAGAGACTCCTAACTGCAGCAGCAGCAGCAGCAGCAGCAGCAGCAGTAGCAGCAGTT